TCGAATAGCCCAAAAAATATGGAAGCTCCTTTGAATCTATCCCGTCAAATGGTGAGGTGAATAATTGCTAGGAGCTATAATCGCATATGCATAGCGGTTGAGTTAATCCGATACAGGGGTGAACACTTTTCTTAATTGGGGGTATATATTGGAATTCATAGCTAAAAATCCACCAAAGGATAACAAAATTGTTTTTATTAATAAACTGAGTTTCACTTGAAAGAGGAAGCTAATCAAGTTAGCCAAATAAGTAATCCAGTTCAAGTACATTTCCAAAAAATTTCTCTAAAAGCCGCCTCGTTCTTTTAATAAGATGCTGTGCATAAAATAAGGATAAAAAATGCGACAGAGGGGAAAAACAGGTCTCACAGAGCTGACTTAATTCTGCCTAAGAAATCAAAGGCAAACCGGTGTTTTTAATTTGCTCTAATTATGTGATGGGGAGCAGAGATTGTAATTGAATTATCTTCAAAGATTTTTCTGTTGCCTAAAATAGATCTTTGAAATTGATTCTGCCTGAGTATAATAGAAAAACCGCGTGGTAGGGTCGCTGTTGCAAGCAATCAGCTTTTCAGTCATCTCAAGGCTGCGCAGCGAAATGGAAGAAACTTTATATGCCTTTGGCATTTAAATTGATTATGAAAATTACCACTTATTGAATTTAATACTTCACTTACAGTTACAGAGCAGTTCTTATCAATTATTTCATGATAATATCTATCAGCCCGGGGGCTATTCGCAAGCTCGAAGGACCGAATGGGCGAAAAAACTTGTAGGCCAATGACCGAAGACAAAATTAGCCGAAAGCCTATTTAAAAAAAAAAACAAAATTGCCATTCAGTTAAACTGAATTAAATGAAGCAATATTTTGCCTCATTGATTACGAAACCCTTGAAATATAAAATTTTTCCCAATTTTCCGGCGGTCAAAGACAAATTGAAAATTTTGCAGATTTTTATATTCGGCCAATATCAATATTCCAAACCCTGGAAATGTTTACTTTTTTCCAAATTTTAGATTACTGAAATGTGATTGGCTGATTTTTATTTTCGCGCATTCGGTTCTTCGCGCATGAGGGATTCCATCTATCAGCCCTAATGCTTCTCACAAAAAAGTGGATGATAATTTGCTGGCAAAAAACTGTTCGGCTTACGAATCTCAATCATGTTAATCACGTAAAACTCATTTTGAGACCAGGAGCCATTGCTTTAATTTTCAAGTTTTTAAATTTTTTTTCTACTTTTTCAAACCTACAAAAACTTCACATTCTAATCTTTTCCGCAGTTAACAAACTCAAGGTTAAAAAATTTATATTTGTTTACGTTAACTGAAAAGAAAACTGCGGCGTGCAGTTTTCATGTAACCATAAACGTAGTTCGTGCTGTTTTTCATCAGGAAAAAAAATCTCAGGGATAACTTTTTGTGCTTTGAAACTCGATTTTTTATTCAATTTCAATTTAACTTCAATTGCTTACAGGAGGCTCAAATTGCCTATAGGAAAAGACTCAAAAACTCAAAAAACATGATTGAAAGTTGGTTTTAATATTTTAAGATTTCATAGATCTATTTATTCGGTTTTCTCAAAATGGACTAGATGAAAAAAAAACATGCTAAGAGATTCCTAATGATTGAGCAACTTGAACTGAGTTTTTTTCTCGGATATTCGAAAATTTAAAAAAGATTTTAAAAGTAGTTAATCCTTGTTTTCGAACTCATTGGGTTCTTTGGCATTTTTTTATTTGTCGTTTATGAGCCGTATTTAGAAATATGATTAGTACTATGCTGCTCGCAGTGGAGCCCTACGGATGCTAATTTCAATTTTCTTGAAGTCAGGAAAACAGGTTAAAATTGACGTTTTTACGCAGTTTTTAGAACGTTCTAATGAAAAAATTCAATTCAATTTCTTGAATGCAACATTTGAAGCAAGGAAATAAGATGTTTAAAGTAAGAAAAAAATGAGGAAAATAAAAAAAGTATAAGACTAAAGGTAGAAATTATTTTTAAAAAAATGTTAAACACAAGATAGCATTTCTTAATCAAATAAGTTTCATTTAAAACAATAAGTCAAAATCTGTTTTTGAGAACTACGAAAGTAACGCTCATTTTCTGAAGGTACTGAAAATTGTTTGCAAATGTCTGACTAAACGAAAAAAAAACGACAATAATTAATATGAAACGTAACAAAATTGATTTTTTTTTGTAAAAAACTAGTAGTAAAACATTCAATTATATCAACAATCGATTATTTCGAAACTTTAAAAAATCTGATTTGAAAACAAAAACTATTGCTTTTTATCAGCGGACTACCTGATGCTGATATTGTTAGTTTCTGTAAATGATTAAGTCAGTAGCTTGCCGAATATTGTTCATCAAAGGAGAGCGATGTTGATAAAATTCATTCCGACGCCGGTAACCATTTTTTTATGGCGTACAAAATTGCAAAATGTGTACAAATTCAAACAATTGAAAAAATTTGGATCAAAAATGTTTGCATTTTTAACAGATCTTGAAAAACTGCTGCATGTCGTTTGCATTGTCAATGACTGAAAGTTTGTTCACGCTGAAATTTAGTTTGTATAGGGTTGATTTTTTCTAAATAACGTTACGTTCAATTAAATTTCATTTGCTTAAAGAACGCAAATTACGCTCGCGAACAAAAAAATTTGAAAAGCGAGAGTAAAATGAATTAGGATCAACAAAAGATTATTGATTCAGTTTTCTCAAATTGGAATTAATTTTTTTAAAATGTGGCTATCATATCTGCTGCCCGGTTTTTTAGAATAGTGTTTTGGGCCGAGTAACTTTACTTGGATGATTTCATCAATACATGCTATTTTCTTCTCATTTTTAATTTTCAAAAACGAAGGTAACGGAATACTTTGTAACCGACTTTTGTAACGAAGCTAACGGAATACTTGTGCTCGGGGTGGGGTTTTGTTCTTCAGAAAAATGTCGACTTTTTTAGTCATTTTTGACGGATTTTCTTATCATTAAAAAATATTGTTGTCTTGATTTTAAATTTGAAAGGATATTTCACCTGTGATTGTTTTTTGTAAAGTTATGGGAATTTAAGGTTTGCCATTTTGGCTAAATTGAGACAATTAACGCGCGATATATTTCGCGCTATTAACGCGTAAGCGAAGATTTAACCAGAAAATTGTTTCAAATCAGTTTAAGGAAGCTTATTTTGCCATAATTGTTTGTTAATAGGAGCAAAATCTATATCTTTGTACTTTATATGGCGTGCGGGGGGATGAATTTTACAAAAATTTCAATTTTTTTTGTAAATATTCTATTTGTTTTAATTACATTTGATTTTTTCATGTTATTACTGCTTCATAGACCTTAAAAGGCTGTCGGAACATTCAGGGTCTCTCCCTGATACGAGGAGTCTTGTTGCTTTTTGCGTATTTTAGAACTCCGATATATTTTGATTTATGTAGTGAACTCAGTTGAAGCTTTTAAACAAGATGTTTTGGCCAAAATTCGAGACATTTCTTGCAAACAAAGCAGTTTGTCCCCAAATTTGTAAAAATTATTTTGGAACTATTGCAATGTTTTATTTATTGTCAGCTTCAAAGAGCATATTTGACCTTAGTTGAACAATTTGGATAGCATTCAATGCTTATGCATTGAAAAAAAAACTTTTGGCAATGTTGAGGTCTTCATGTCCTGACAAAATCTAATACAGTATTTCAATGTTTTGAAAAAATTTTGGTTCAAAATTCAATAAGAGTAACAAAATGACGATGTTACAATAGCATAAAACTTTTTATTAATACTGCTACAAGCAGGGGCGGATCTAAGATTTTCTCGAGGAGGGGATATTCAAACAATTTTGTCGGCCTTTTTTAGGTCGATCAAATTGATTTTCTGAGCTCTCCTTAATCAGCATAAAAACCTAAATGAAAAAACAATAAAAGACGCAAAAATGAGTACTTATTATATATGTTTTTCGACTTGACTTCAGTATTTTTGGTTTTAAGTGAGTTCGAATCTGTATCGATTGTTACCAGCTTAAAAGTCTATGGGAAAAGTTCAATTTAATTGATCATATTGGCAACAAAAAATAGACAAAACAATCAGTTTTAGGAGAGAACGGATTTTTAGAGATTTTTAATCTATTAATTTCATTTTCAAAAATCCATTATAATCCATTGTAATCGATTTTATCAATTTTATTAATTGTTGTTTGTTCATAGTCAGTGAAAATTTTGTTTTGTAAATAAGATTGGTTTACTCTACTTTTTGCCACTTTATCCCCGCGTACATACCCGCTCAATGCTCGACATCCGCCCCTTCTTTCAAACCCCTCACAACCCTTGCTCACCTTTTATGTTGCGGATCGCCTAAAGGGGGCTAATGGCCCAGAGTGTTTTGCGGGTGGTGTTCCGGATAGCCTTGAAATGTACCGAGGAAGAGCAACTGTTTGCTAAGTTAAATTTATTCTGTTCTGGCTGAAACTATAAAAAGTTCCAGCCTTACAAGTTATTGTAAGTGTTAGTTATGGATCATGATTAATTAGTTCTAAGCATTTTACAGAATTAGTTTCTCAAGAATATAATAGGATAAAATAAATACTTGTTTTGAACTGGTTCCAGTAGTTTGTAAAACTATGACAATCATCAACTTTTTCTGAAACTTGTTTCGATTGGTTTAATGCAGATGTAGTTGTGTAATTTAACTTTTAAAAATGAAGACGATTTGTCCGAAAGAGATATGATCAGCAAACCAGCTTTGCAGCTTTTCACGGAGAACTGCAGCTGTTTTTCTGCTTTGATATTACTTCGAACTTAAATTTTTAGCTTAAATCTCAGCTTAAAACTGAAGAAATAACATTTTTTTAAAATTGGTTCCAAGTTAACTTATGTTAAGACGATTTAACCACGAGAAAAAGGCCAACATACGAGCTGTTCAGCTCCTCATATTTGAACGGCAGTTGTTCCGTTGCTTTAATAGTTACAAGGAATTGTTAAATTGAATTGGAAATTTAATTTCAGGAGCAGCGGCTGAAGGCTCTCTACTTTGAAGTGTGGAAATGGGAGGACCAGTTTCTCCAGTGGGATCCGCAGGACTACGGAGGAATCCAAGAGGTCACCCTCAGTCGGGAACAGGTGTGGATGCCGGATATTGTGGTGTACAATGAACTGGGCGACAACTACAACTATTTCATGAAGGAGAACCTCATACCTGTCAATATTAACTACAAGTTAGTAGTCCCATTTTTACAATGAAGTTTTTTTAAAATATTTCAGCCTTTTTGCAATTTTCGCTTACTAAATTAAAGGGCCTAGATTTAATTTGTATTTTCCGCAATATTTTTTTTTGCATTTTTGAATATTCAATTCTGATTGGACAAATTTTAATTTCCATAACTCGTTCCCTGCATTATTCGGGAAGCCACCGTCAGCCTCGAACAATTGAAAATTCAAAGGTTCCAGATGAAAAACTTGACCTTAAAATTTTGAATTACAGTTGTGACAACATCACGAAGTGAACAAAAGAAGATACGGATTAGCTAGTGTTTTTTTACTCAGTCTAAGGTACATTTTAGGTACCATATAGCGTCATGTATTCTAGCAAAAGCAAAATTTTATTTTTCTTGTGAAGAAAAAACACCAAAAGACTAGCATCAATATCGAGATATATTGGCCAGAATCATTTCGTTTTTCAGATTAAATTGGACAAAAAATTGAAAAGTTGGCGTTCCCAAATCAGTAGCCGATTTAGAGGGGGATAGTTGGACGCACTCCCCTCCCCTCAGGAATTAGACCTTCTGCCAACCCAACGGGTCCCCCTTTGTACTATTTTGAGATATCCATTATTGGTGACCGACCTCAAAATTTTTCTGAAGGAGCCTTCGGCGCCAATATATACTAATTTTGAGGGGGGAGCGCGCGCCAAAAAAAAGCAATTTTTCGGGCAAAATGTTCCAAAAATTGCATAAAAAAACCTTTTTTTGGCCTGTTTTTCAAGATTTTGCCTGCGGCGTAGAAATATTGGTCAAAATGGGTTCTTTACAGTGATTTATGAGAGTTCAGAAAATCATTTTAGTCAATCTAAAAAAACGGCGACAAAATTTTCATTCACATCAATTGTTTTTAGTCAGAAAAATAAACAAAAAAAAAAATTATGAAATGTTCAAAAAATTTGTCATAAACTGAAACCATTTTAGGAAACTTTTAAAGAGTTCAAATAGTGGTCAAAGATAAATAATTATAATAAATAAAACTAGTCTCAAATCCAATCTTAATCATCATACTAATCAGAACAATTCTAACATAATCGTAATAATCAAAATATTTGCGCCATTTAGTACTTGATAAAAAAAATTCAACAAAAGTTCTGAGCCCACCAAAAAAAAACTTCAACAAAAATCGATGACATGTAGTATAATAAAAATTAATGTTTTTTAAAAAAATGCGTTAAATGATAGACCAGAAAAATTCCTTGATAAAAAACTTTTCAAGGCTTTTGAAGTCCCGAAAAATACACAATCACCTGGATATTTTGTATCGGAAATCAAAAGGCCAACGGAAGCTAGCATGCTAACAATACACGAGCTAATAATGTGAGTTGCAAGTTAAACTGAACATTTTTAAAGAGTTTTCGCAAATTTTTTTCATCTGAAAGTAATAATTTTAGAGCATTTTTTTTACAGGGATTTCATATTGACATTTTACCAGGAGTTGCCAAAAGTGGCTTTTATTGGTCACTTTGAAAGGAGGACATCTTTTTTTAACAAGAGCAAGCAGTAGTTTGGAAGTATGTTCTTTTTTCATAGCTGATAGAAGGCATGTCTGTAGAGGAAGTAAAAATCATCCAATTTCTCACATAAAGTCACCTACGTCAGTTTTTTGACAGAGCGTCAGTTTTTAGGAAGGCGTCTTAAAAAATAATGGTCTGCACCAAAAGTGGGTTATAAATATAATCAGATGAATGAAAATACTAATATAAAGATAGCAACAAAATTGTAAATTTTGGCTCCTATGACGGTTAAGACCAGTGGTGGATGTAGGATTATTTCAAAAGGGATAGAGATTTCCAAAAAAAAATTTTAAAAAATTGATTTTTAGGTCCCAAATTGATTTTCCATGCTACTTCAAAGAACTACAAGGGCCCTGTTTTGCCAAATAAGTGCCCTGATTTGAAGACGCTGTTAATAATCTCTTAAAACCAGCATGCCAAAAAGGGATGTCGGGAAATGCTAGGGTGTGTTTGGCTAGGGGGTTGAATATAACTTTTATTTAGAGGATTGTTGCAACGTAGTAGCTGATCGGTTGCAGTTTGCATCACTGAAGTTATCATAACTCACCACCAGCAAAATTTCCCTCAATATACGGATATGAAGAAGAGGAAATAATTAAAATTTGAAATCTGGTCACTGAAAACAAGATAGGAATTAGTTTCAGTTATATTTAGAGATGAGTGATTAAATTACATCCGTTTTTTTCAGATTTCATGGTTTTAGCAATGTCTTTCTTGCAACAACGATGGTTTTTTTCAGTCGCTATCCTGAGTGCAAAAAATTAATTGGATGTCTTGTAGTCTCCGAACTTCTTTTTATTCCAAGTCCGCTTACAGCTAGGGCAGTTTACGAGAGGAGTTGATTATGGCAGATATAATCACCTGATAATACAATTCTGTTGTGCTTATATCAAAAAATCAATTTCCTATACTTGAGGTTCATTTTTACAATTAGTTTGCTACTCAAGAAAACTTGCCAAAAAAATTGAAAAACTAAGTATTAGGTGAATTTTTGATATCATTCAAGTGCAGTCATTGAAAGCTACACAAAAACGCAAGCAAAAAAATATGATTTAACCTTACTCAAGTTTTGCAATGCATATTAAGAATGCATATGCATATTACTAACTATTGAGAAAATTGAATTTGCATATCACTAACTATTGAGAAAATTGAATTTGCCTGCAATTTATAAGCTTCAAAAACGTCCTGTTCATTCTGAGATGTATGCTCTCGCAGTTAAACGAATCAATTTAAAAAAAATCTCAAATGCAAAATTTTTACCGCACGATTCAACTAATTTCTTTTTATGTAGTTAATTCCAACTGGGGCTTTAAACCTAGATTTGAGCCTTAAAACCAAAGTTTCAACTGCTATTTTTTCCGAAAACACTTGTAGTTTAAAATGTTCCTATTAGATCATTAGTCAGCGTGCAGTTTTCTATTGTTACGACAATCAAGCAAAATGCAGAATATATATATTCTGGTTGGTTTTTATATTCAATTTAAATATTCAGACGATCTTCAGACCAAAAACATTGTAGAGTGGAGATTGATCTTGGAACATTCGTGTTCCCACGCGGGTGTGCTCGCAGTATTCTAAATTTGTGATGGAGTGATGTCAAAGAGTGATGAAGGCAAATGTTGCTTAGATCCATTCCAGAACAAATACGGGGGACTTTTCCTGTCAATTTTATTCGACGCAATTTTTTACTTTAACAATAAGCATTTTTGGCTCCTCTTGTTTTATAAAAAGTTGCTCAAAAACTACTGCGTCATTCTGAGATCAATTTATTTTAATACGAGGCCAAACTGCTTTTTTGTGCTTATGAATGGATTCTTCAACAGGCTAAAATCAGATTTTTGGCGGACTCCGCAACATGATATTCTTTGAAATTCTTTGCTGGTTTGGATTCCATAAGCAAATAGCTGAAACACTCTACCGCTCAAAATTGCTCCGAAAATAGGCAAAAAAAGAGGAAAAGTCCTTGCGGAATCCAGAATAATTTGTGGAATCCACAAACCAATGATAAAATATAGGTATAATCAAATCGAGCTGTTGCGGAATCCGCAATTGTAAACAGAATTCGCAACTTTTAAGCTGAATTCGCAAATAGTAAGAGAAATCCGCATATGTTTGCTGATTCCGGAAACGTAGATAGTTGCGTCTAGAAATTTAATTTTTGAATTAAAAATTAAATCTATTTTTGTAGGTCATCAGCGAGACTGCTTATCAGTTCAATCTCATTTACTGCCAACAGTTTGAACTCACGAGCTAAATCTCAAATACTGAAAAACTGAACACCTTTCCGATCTCAAATACTAAAAAAAATGAACACTTTTCCGATATTAAATACTAAAAAAATGAACACTTTTACTATCTCAACTACTGAAAGAATGAAAATAAACTTAAGTAAACTATTTTATGGGTTATAATGCTGAATTATTAATAAGTTTCCAAACACTAAAAAGCTGCAGTTGAACAATGTTTTAAAATTTGTTGTTGCATTCCATTTACAATATTTAAATCCTTGCTTTCAGTTTCCGCATTTGCTAGATAATAGGTTTAATTATAACTCCTAATAGTTGACGCAAAGATTGGTTCAGTCCAGCATAACAAACAAAACTACATCCACTTATTGTTGAAGAATCCGCCTGCTTTTGCTGAATCCGATTACAGTTGCGCAATCCAGAACAAATAGCTATATTAGCTTATTGCGGAATCAGCGACGAAACAAACGTGCCGACAATTTTTACATCACAGGTATTTGTACGCGGAATTCGCGGAAACTTTGTAAGTGGAATCCACTTACAATGTCGAACAAACTGAAAGAATTTTTTTCAGGAATCCAGGAACATACAGACAACATATTGTGCGCCTATTAAGTGCACAAATGGCTTGGTACTTTTTTAAAAATTGATTTTCAATCACAAAATTGGATATTTCAGAGTGAAAGTGTCCTATTTTTAGTGGCTTATTCGTTCATATTTTGAGACAATTTTAATTTTGTGGCTCCCACAAAGGCTTTGCCGACCCGCAAATTTTAACAGAAGATAATTGTGGCAGTAACTATTAAAAATCATGAGCCCTCCTTAATAGTTACTATATTGTTAAGGTTACTTTATGGTGTGCTACGAGAGTTGTTGGCTCTTCTATCGCTCGTTTAATGGTCCATGGTGTGCGGGAGGAGGCGAAGATAGATGAATTAATTTTTATTCGATGTACGGGCAAATATGGTAAAACAATAAAAAATAGAGACCTGTTTTTAAACCGTATTGCTTCATAAAAACTTTGGTAAATTCTTACTTATTTCCGAAAAAAAATTATTATGCTTAAATTTTACCAACAGTGAGAAAAATGTTTTGAAGTTTTGACTTTCACTTGGGTGGCTGTATAGTTACAATAGTTGTTACACTCAGCTCACTTTGGTTGCTCGAACGCGGAAAAAAAACAACGACATTG